GTGCATTTTTGCTGACACCAAGGCGAGGAAGCGTGGTGTCCCTCCCCAGCTCTTCTCATTAGCTAGCGTAGCTTAGATCACAGAAAGCTCCTGCTGGGAGGGGCCTTCATGGTCATCGACTGCAGCCCCTCAGTTCACCAAGGTCAGCAACTAAATCTCAGAGATGTCAAGTGACTAGGTCAGGGTCACACAGTGAGCTAGAGGTAGAACTGAGACTCAAACATTGTTTTCTTGGCGTCCAGCTTGGTGCTCTTTCTACTCTGCTTCTGTGAACTGCTGCTGCCGGCCCAGGGCTCAGCTGACAGATGGGCTTGCTTAACTCTGGCTCATGCAGGATGAACACAAAACTGACCCTGTTTTCCGATCCCACTGCTGTGGTTTGACCAGCTGATCAAATCAAAACTGCTCTGGCCAGATCAACTGCTAACTTTTGAAGTGAATGGAGCTGAAAAGTAGTGTCAATAGTTTAGAGTGGGGATGGCCCTCCACTTGCACACAACTCTCTGCCTCAGCTCTCCAAGCATCTCCTCCACCGCCCTGTTAGATGTGTTTCATAATATCTCAGCCCAGGGATCATTTTATTAGGGTTAAGCATTGCCCTTTTCCTTCTCTCTTATAGATGTCTTCTGGGAGAGATCACGTGTACATGTCCCCCTCCTCAGTGTGACTAAATGGATCAGAGGCTTTCCTCCTCTACAGGACACTGGCCAGAAGACTACTGGAGAGGTGCACAGGGGGAGTAAGGAAACAGAGTGGAGAAAGAAACGGGATGGAGGCAAAGCCAGCCTAGGTCACAATTAGGCCCATGGCCAGCCACCTCTCATGTGTATATTGCTATTGTGGAAAACAAAACAAAGAGCTCAAATCAAAGATATTCAGATTCAACAGGGAAGAAAAATGAACATTGACAGAAGGTCTACTTTTCCAGAAACTAGAATAAGTGCTCTCAGTAGATTATTTTAGTTAGCTTGCATCACAACCCTTTGAGGTAGCTATCATTAGCCCCATTTTCATGGATGAGAAAACTGAGGCTCTGAGAGAGCTCACAGAGCCCTGATTAAATCCCAGGGAGACATGCTTTCCAAGCATATGCCCTCTCCTTTTTCAAAAATCTCTTTTGAGATTGGATTCCTCTTTAGAATACCCCTAATCCAGCTTTTTGAAAGTGCCTGACCAGGCTATTTTGTAAGAGCGGAAACTGAGGCCCGGAAATGTGAAGCCACTGTCACAGGAGCGGAGTCTGGCCTGCTGCCTATGGTTGCCAGGTCTTGGCTTACCATCGCTTTAAAAGCCCTGCCCGAACTGACTCTTCCTTGCACTGTCAGCGAGAAGGGGGAGTTTCCCTGTTAGTGAACTGGTGGGAATCCCTCATCAGGAGAAGGGCTTATCTGGCCTCTGCAGCATACATTCATTTAGCATGCACATTCCCCTGTTGTTATCCTCTTTCAATTTCTTGAGCCCCATGTTTTGTAAGGCTAAACAAATAAAACTCAGTGTTTTGTGGGAGGAAAACAGATGACTGTTGAGAGTGATGTGTATAACACACTCCACCTGTTTATAATATTGAAGCTGGAATTTCAGAACAGCGCTTTCATTAAGTACTGCTGCTCATTCAGTTTAGAGAGACATAAAAACAGAAATGAATTTACTCAATAGTTTGCATGCCTTCAATCTTTGTGATAAAAATTGCCTATTATTGAAAGTATGAACGTTTAAAAAAAATTAGCGACAGCTGCAGAGACAGGGTCGCAGAGCATGCTCAGGATAAGGGGGAAAGCAGACTTCCTTGGTGTTTTATGCTCTATATAAAGAGTGCCAGCACATTCTTTGACGTGAAGTTTTCACTGTTTCTGTTCCAGTTTGAACAGGGGACCCTGCTGTCTCCCCTGTGACATCGGCCCAGAACAAGTCCAGCTGCTGATTGCCTGGCGGGACCCAAAAGTGCGAGTGTCACAGAAAGCATTGAGGACTAGGCCTACAGCTCTCCCCTGTGATGAGGCGCTGAGGGTTGGCAGCCCTTTGGCCCTTGAGGAAGATGAGAAAGTGCGTGACTCAGAATGTCAGAACAGGCAGTGCCCTTTGAATCACAACATCGACTTTGCCTTCTTACAAACAGGGCCGCTGAGCACAAGAGCAAGCAAGTGCCTTCCTCACTGTCATAGAGCGTCTCGTGAGTGGCAGAGTCAAGACAACAACCCAGGTCCCTGGACTCCCAGGTTGGTGCTGTGCTCTTTCCACTCTCTCCTGCTGCCCTCTCAGACTCAGCAACCAAATGTGTGTCTGGAAGTGCACTGCTTCGTATGTCAGCCAGACTGACCTTTACGTTCCCAGAATCATCAACCCTTTGTGGAAACCATGGAAAGACGGTGCTGGAAAAATAATGACAAGCATACCACGCTGTGGAGACAACCAGAAGCCCTGCTCAGACTGTGGAGTCCTCCTCACCTTCCAAGTACTGAATCCCAAATATATATACAAGCAGCAACTCAGGTGGGCCTAAGAAATAAGGAGGTGGAAAACCAGACGTCTGACAATTCAGCCAGTTCTCTTTCTCTTTTGCCTCCCACCCCGATCTCCAAACTGGGGCTGATTTCTACAGTATCAAGACATTCGTTACTCAGTTCCTGAGAGGAACCAGCTCCTAGGAGGTGGCCCAGCCCAGGACTGCTAGAGGCCTTGGGACTTTCTGCCAAGGCCCAATCTGGCCTCAGGAGAACACGACTCTTGGGACTCACACAGGAAACATTCCCTCTTTCCCTCTTCTTAGCACCTCTTCACCTAACAAGGTTCCTCTGAGACTTGTGGGATCCCCTGCTTTCCCTAAAGACAGTTTTCTTCCACTGTTAGGGGCCCTGATTTATGAAATGAATCATGAGAGATTCATTTCTTTGTTTATCTTACAGCATGAGGGGTGGAGGAAAGACTTGTAAAGGCAAATATCCTCCAGTGAGCTGGAGTATGTATTCACACTAGAATGTTAGTGACATATTAGAGCTCAGAAGCTGGACTTTACAGCTCCATCCTGTCCCTTCTTTTGCTCTGCCACTACCAACTTGACTGCCCCTTTCTCTGAGAGTTGGACTGTGTGTGTGCATGTGTGTGTGCACACACAGGTGTGTATGTGTTCCTTTTCATGACCTAAATGAGTACATTCTGCTTGTTCCCTGTACTGGTTACCACCCCCCACTCCCACCAAAGGCCCTTTCCCATGTTCCCATCCCATGAATCTCTCCTAGAGCAGAAACTCCAGAGTTAGCTGCTAGGGGCATGAATGTGTGACCCACCTGTTCCAGAAGTGTTTTCCCGGGGACCCACTAAATGCCATTACAATGGTGTAATGGCAGAGGGGTCCTCATATGGCACCATGAGGAGAGCCACCTACTGGACAGACTAAAGAGGCTGACTGTGCAGGCGGCCAAGGGGAAGGTAGAGACAGCTGGCACGCCGAGCTCCTGGGCCACCGCCATGGCTTCTCACTCCCCTGGCTCACACCCTCGCTCGCCCTCGCCCTCAGGGGAGCAGGCATGCCCTACAAGCCTGAGGGGATCAGGGACGCTCTCGGGGGAAGTCAAGAGGTCTACCTTGTAAGTCGCTGCAACTGGCTCCTTAGTACAAGTGCATCAGGCAGAGTCCCCCTGGACCCCTGGGACAGGTGAAATACCTGAAGTGAAGTGAAGGAATCCCAAGAATCCCTCATGCCTGCAGCCAGACAAAGCGTCCCCCACTGCCCAAGTACTTTTGGGGGCACACGGAAGTTCTGCCAGGACTGGGGAAGTCTGCAGGGAGGTAAGGGCAGGGAGCACAGCTGTGAAATCGCCCGAGAAGGGCCCCTTCCTTTGTTGTCACATCTGAGCTCAGAGAGCAGGTAAACACAGTGTCACATTTGGTATTGACCAAAGGTCATCCTCACAGGAACACAGATGCTCAAAAAGGAGGACTTAGTCCTATTTTATGGAAGAAGAAACTGAGGCTCAGAAGGGGCAAGTGATTATCCCAGGGTTGCCCAGCAAGGAAGTGAGAGATTCTCAGGACTCCTAGGCCAGTGCTTGCTGCTTCAGTGCAAAGAGAGAACAGAAAAGGGATGGAGTGAGGGACCAAATGTTCTGAAGGACATCCCGGGAGAGCCTGTCTCTGGAGGTACTTGCCCTGACCCCGACCCCAGGATTTGGCTCACTGTCTCCCTCCCAGGCCCAACAGTGCTGCTCTGAAACACTGCTGCCACCCATGCCCCTTCTGCAGCAGTGGGACTGGACAGAATGGGCACTGCTTCACGGAAACATCTGTTCCCGATATACAAGCGCCACCTGATCAGATAGGAACAATCTGAGTCCTGAGTTCCCGGGGACCTTGTCCTGAAGGCACATCCCTTCTTTCCTTGCTAATTCTTACATTCCTGGTCCTGCAGTCAAAAAAAGCTTTTTGGACACCTGGGCTTGAGGGTGGCCTCCACCTATTTATTAGAGGAGGTGGTGTCAGGAAATGGGTGGATGGTGCCTGGTTTCCTGGGTTCAAACCCTGGGGCTCTGCTGTGTGACCTTGGGCACATCCCTTCCCCTCTCTGGGCCTGTTTCCTCATCTGTCACATCACCTTGATTAGATGGTCCCACTCTGATGTAGTATTTAGTCATATGTCTTTCCTTCAATAAACCTTGTATGAGTGAAGCCTTCCTGTAGGCACGGGGATTGATGCCACGGATTCACCAAGAAGACAGGAGTCAGGACGAGTCTCTGCTCTGAAAAAACTCATTTTCCCATTCTGTAACGTTTTTTTGGTCATGCTTCTCCTTCATGCTGACTTACCTTTTCAGAAAATGCCCCCGCTTCCGCTGGAGAATGGAAATTGGCAAAGAGAGGGGGAAAGGTCCAATTTGCGCCTTTGCTATTTTAGGGGAGGCTGAAATTACGAGCCAAAGTGGAGTGATGCGCTTACTGGAGTGACCTCCGTTCCTCAAGACAGGAGAAAACCTAGGTCCTCTGCTTGTGAAGTGGCTCGAGCTCTTAGGCGTAAAGCATTATTACATAAATTCAAGCTCGCTCCTGATCCTTAGTACCCTGAGTTGCCTGAAGGGGGGAATGGCACTGCCTGCGTGTGCAGCCCCGGCGCTCAGGCCGCCGCTGCAACCGGAGCGAGGAGCGCCCGCCCGCACCACCTGTCCCCGCCGGCATTCCAGAGTAGAGGCCGAATTGGCAGCAAGCCGGCCCGGATCAGTCGCCGCCTCAGTCCGCGCGGGCCCTCCTAGGGGTGTGTCTCGCGGATTCAACTCCCAGCCGCTCCTGGACGAGCCCCTGAAGGCATCTTCCTCCCTGGCGGGAGCCGCGCGCGCCCCTCTCTTCGCGCTGCTGCCCCGAGGCCGCCGCAGGCGGATGCACGACCTCAGGAGACGCTGGGACCTGGGCTCCCTCTGCCGGGCCCTGCTCACTCGGGGCCTGGCCGCCCTGGGCCACTCGCTGAAGCACGTGCTCGGTGCGATCTTCTCCAAGATTTTCGGACCCCTAGCCAGGTATGTTTTAGGCGAAAGCGCGACTCTCGCTCCCGGGCTAGGGTGCGCAGGAGCCGTGCGGGCAGGGAATGCAGCCGCGAGGGGAGGGAAGAGCGCAAAGTTCCAGCTGGCCCGTGGCGGCCGGGCTCGGAGGCTCTGGAGGGGCGCGGCGCGCATTTGGCCAGGCTGCGGCTCCCTCCCCGCGGTTCTGCCGGCACCGGCAGCGCAGTGTCTCCGCTCGCAAGTCGCGGTGCCGGCGAACTCCTTCTCGCGGGGGAACTCCAAACGCCCGGCTCTGAGCTCACTTGAGGCGGCCTCCAAGCTGGGCAACCGGGTGCGGGCAAGACCACGGGGAGGGAGATCGCGAGTCGAGCAGGCAGGGAGGCGGCGGCGTGCGCGCGAAGGGAATTGGGGCAGAATCGCCAAGGAGAGTCCGGTGGGCGAAGTGGGATGGGGATGGGAGCCACGGAGCCACCGAGAGTGGAGTGAGACGTACGGGGCCTTGGACCGGGGGCGTGAGTAGGGAAGCAACCGGGGCAGGCGGGGTCCCGCGGGTACGAAACCTCGCGCAGCGGCTCTGGAGAGCTCCGGCTGGGGGAGAGGGCGGGCGACCAGCGGGAAGGAGTCGGGGGTGGGGGTGTGTGCGGCAGAAGCCACAGCGCTGAGCCTGTCGGGAAGGAAGGAAGCAGGGAAGGGCGCCGCTGCCGCCGCCGCCGCCGCCGCCGCCGCGGCCGCCGTGGAGTACTCGGTGCGGAGGGGAGGGGGAAAGGGGTGCAACAGCGGCGCGAGGGGGAGGGGGCGGTGCGGGCGCACGGCGAGCGCGGGCTGAGCTGCGGGATTGACGTAACGAGCTTGGGTTTCCCCCAGCGTCGGGAACATGGATGAGAAATCCAACAAGCTGCTGCTGGCTTTGGTGATGCTCTTCCTATTTGCCGTGATCGTCCTCCAATACGTGTGCCCCGGCACAGAATGCCAGCTCCTCCGCCTGCAGGCATTCAGCTCCCCGATGCCGGACCCGTACCGCTCGGAGGATGAGAGCTCTGCCAGGTTCGTGCCCCGTTACAATTTCAGCCGCGGCGACCTCCTGCGCAAGGTAGACTTCGACATCAAGGGCGATGACCTGATCGTGTTCCTGCACATCCAGAAGACCGGAGGCACCACTTTCGGACGCCACCTGGTGCGCAACATCCAGCTGGAGCAGCCGTGCGAATGCCGCGTGGGTCAGAAGAAATGCACTTGCCACAGGCCGGGTAAGCGGGAGACCTGGCTCTTCTCCAGGTTCTCCACGGGCTGGAGCTGCGGGCTGCACGCCGACTGGACCGAGCTCACCAGCTGCGTGCCCGCCGTGGTGGACGGCAAGCGCGACGCCAGGCTAAGACCGTCCAGGTGAGTGACCACCCGCGGCAGAGCGAGGTCCTGGAGCGCCGGATCCGACCTGGGCCTGGGCGGGCTGAGGGCGGGGAGATGCGGCCGGCCGTTGCCGAAGACCCAGAGCGCACCTCGGCGCCCCGGCGGTTGCTCCCCGGCTGGGCGGGTGCCAGGGGCCCTGGCGCGCAAGCTCATGGCGCTGTAGCGGCTGTAGGAAGCCTGTCCGCTCCCGCTTGTCTGTCTGTACGCGGGTTGGCCCGCTTGGCGTCTCGGAGTGCGTACGGGGGAAGCGGACGGGAGTCCCCGAATGAGCGCCCCCCGGGCCGCCGCCGGGATAGGGTACCGCACGTAGACTCCGCACTGGAGCGCCAGAAAGAACCGCGCTTTGCGTGTAGCGTCCCTGAGTCCCTCCTGTTCACACTCTTCTCCGCACCCGGTTCTGAAGCCTCCTTGCCGCTCTCTCGTCCTCTTTCCCGCTCCCGCATTCTCTCCCCCCCCCACTTTTTTCCGCTTCCTATATTCGCCTTTCTGACTTTCTCGTGCTCACGATCTTGTCAGTTACTGGCCGCTCGCTTTTTCCTTCTCCCTCCGTTTTCCTCTCCCACTTTGCTTCTCGTTCTTTCTTTTACCCTTTCTGCTTTTTCTCTTCCTGGCTGACTTTTGTCGCCTCTCTCCTCCTTTCTTCCCTCTGGCTCTGCTCTCCTCAGGAGAGTGGGTGTCCCTCTGCCCCTGTTTGCGGACACCCGGAGACATCTCCTGGTACTCAGCTTGCTCCCCTCACTACTGGCTGCACGCGAGGCATCCGTGGCGCTTTCCAAGTGCGAGGAGCACCCCGCGCGCCGAAGGGCGGGCTAGGACGCTACCCTGGACCCCAGGTTGTGTTCAGCCTTGAGAAACCTCTCCAGATTTACAAACCCTGAACCCCAGCGTGGGGCGCCACCAGCCCACTTGCTGGGAACCTGGGGTTGATGTGGAAAAAGCTGATTTGTGAAGAGCCTGTCGCTAGTTGCTTTTGAAGCTAGGGCATTTTCCTCTATCCAGCCGCAATGCCTAGTTGCTGGAGGTCACGGAGTGTCATAAAAGGGTGGAGGAAAAGGGCGCATTGGAGTTGCTCCAGCCAGGGCTCTCATATTGCTAGTCTCCGTAAAACAAATCTGGGCTGGGACAGAGAGTCCAGGGAATGGACAAGGTGAGTCTGGTTGCCAGGGGGCCTCTAGATTGGGTCTCCGGGCAGGCAAGGACATGGCCCTTCTTTCTGCACCCCCATTGAGGTTACCACAGGGGCCTTTGAGGCAGCTACTGCAGCGGCTGCCTGCCAGGACCCTCTCTCAACCTGCCCCGTCCCCGGCAGCCCCCCCGCACCGGGGGGTCCTCTGTGCCCTGGAGTAGGCACCGCTTTGCAGGTGTCTCTTGGAATGCAACAGCTGGCGCAGTTTCTACTGTCCAGCCGCAGGCAAATGGAGCCCCCTGATTTTCTGGTCACCCGTGAGATTGAGAGGAAGCATCACCCTCTACTCACTTTCACTTCCCTCAGTTTGCAGTGTCCTTTCTTGAAGGCTGGAATTCTGGCAGAAGCTGTTGGATTTTCATCTCCTTTCCAGCGTTAACAGATTTTTCTTTTCTATCCTAAGAGAACCTTGGCCCCAGGAATGTTGCCACCTCAATCCATTTTAGGAATTGTGTCAGTCACTGTCAGCACAAGATTCTGGTGTTTAAGAAGATCCCAAACAATTTGGCAGTATTAAAATCGTCTCTCTTAGAGATGGAGCTTGTAGGTGTAGTGAGGGGTGGTGATATAAAAAGCTCTTTAGGGCAAAAATAGAATTCCACAGCCATGACTGTGGCAGAGAAGGAAAAATGAGGTCTTGGCCACTATGGAAGCCGCAGCCCTGTCTAGAGTTCCAAAGGGCACATGTGCCTTGTGAACGTGTAGGTCAGGGTGTGACATGGTCTATAAACACACATTATTAATGTGGTCTGGGTTATATTTTTGGTGGCTGCTGTCCTCTGGCAGATTCTGAAGAAAACTTCAGAAGTTTTCCGTAAGATAACCAGGACCCCTCAAGGGGAAGTTTCAGCGTCTTGGATAGTCCCAAATTGAAGCAAAATTATTTGAAATGAAATGAGGTTTTCTTGGTCATAAAAAGGGTGATAATACAGTGCCATCTAGTCTAATGAAAAAAGAACCGCTTTTTAAAGAGTCAGAGTTACTGGATATTACAATATTTGCAAAAGTGAAATAAAATCTGCTAGAGAAACACATTGCTACCCAAGGGTACCTTTTTATTTCATTCGTTCCTACCCACCTCCAGAAATCTTCATCTTGAAGAATAGTGATATCGTGGGGATTCCAGCATTTCCCAGGATGTTGATAAATCTTTGCTTACAGGACCAGTTCTGTTCTCATAACCTATAGGAGTGTGAGAGTGAGAGCGAGAGTGTGTGTATGTGTACGTGTGCGTGAATGTGTACGTGTGTGGTGAAGATTTAGAGACACAGACAGCTGTGCTGGCAGTGATGCGTGAGGGTGAGGAGCTGGTCTCAGGAGATGAGAGAGTCAGCCATGGGGAGTTCCTGTGTAGAGCAGCCTTCCATGCCAGCTGGAGGTCTCTGTGCTCCACTGAACTGAGAGGAACAGCAGCTCCGTCTGTTTGGCCTGGGAGTTCCAACACCTGGGCCTTCGTTCCAGGCCAGCCACGACCCAGCTGTGTGACCTTGGACCCGAGCCTGTCCAAGCCTTGTATATATGGAGAGTGCGTTCCAGTTTCTGATGAGCTTTCACATCCCTTATCTCTGGTATTTCTCTGTAAACTTGCACTGTCTCTGGGAAGAGGGCAGAGTGGACAGAAGTATCCCCGTTGATTAGATGTGAGTGAAGCCCAAAGGGGCTGAAGGACTTTCCCAAGGTCACTGACTTCTTTAGTGGCACAGCAGAAGTCTTACCCCAGTTCTGTCTGATTCCACAGCCCTTGCTCTGTTGATTGCGCCTTGATGAACGAGGGTTTTTATAAAAACACAGTGAGATGTTTGATGTTAGTTATTCCTACAAAGTAAACACTCAGTAAATGTTAACTGATATTGTTATCACCTACATTGTCACCACTTTCAGTAATTTTACACATGTGAGTTTGGACAGGAGACTGGACTGGGGTTGCCACCCCCATTGGGAGAAGGACAGATTTCTGCCTCCTTGAGGCTTTTTGCTCACCAAGAGTGGGTCTCGTGGCTAGGTTGCAGAGGGGCCTCTCATTGCCGTGTTGGAAATCACTACGAAGCTGAGCAGGATGGGAGGACACTGGGGGCCTGGTGAATAAGCCTCAGTAGGAGCCCTCAGCAGCAACCAGGGCCACCTTCTGACTCACAGCCATCCATCCACAGTAGGGGGGCATGAGAGGCCATTGTGGCTGAAAGCCAAGACCCTGAATCTTCCGCCCAGTGCTACATTTGAGATGCTTCCCTGCCTCAGCGGATGGTAAAGTGCCTGGGTGATATATAACTGCTGAATAGAAACGCTTGTGATCACGTTGCCTGGAGAGGACAAAGAGAGAGAGTGCTTGGCTGGCAAAAGGCTCAAGTTGTTTATTAAGAATAATATTTCTTTAAAAAAGACTAGAAATTGCATTTCATGCGTCTGTCTGGCAATATGTTGTTTGGGGTCAGAGAAGGGTCCTGTTCACTCTAGAATTTCTAAGACCATTTTTGAAAATGTATCAAAACATTGTTGCTTACCAGCTGTTAAAACTCCCAAATTCTGCAGGCTTTTCTCAGGCCAAATTCCATCTGTTTGTAGCCAACTCTAGTGCGCCACTTGGTCTGTGGGAGGAATTCAGAATTGGGCACAAAGAAACTGCACTGGCCTCATTCTTCTTCACCAGGTGCCATGCTGGCTGCACACATGGGGTGGCTGGTCAGGTGGAGGGGAGATCGGGTTCTATGGCTATACATGTCAAAGAATCTGATTATCATGTTCATGTTGCATCCTAGACTTTTCTAGAAGCCATACGGAAGAGTAATTAATTGTCATCTAAAATCCAGTAGGATATCACCGACAGGAAAGGACTAAAAGGCATTTATATGGAGAAAAGCTTTCTTTCTTTCTTTCTTTCTTTCTTTCTTTCATTTTTGGTCATTCCTTTTTAAAAATTGTGGTAAAGACTTTTTCTTCTTTTCCTTTCTTTTTAAAAGGCGGTTCTATATTGAAAGAGCTGCGTTGTAGTCAGAACTCTATAGTGCATGTGCCTGCTCATGCCTCCTGTGCCCATGCCCCCACTCCTTCCCTTTCTGGATTTTGCAGTGAAACAGGATGACATGACAGGCTTGCAGTACTGTGAGGCAGTGAGTGAATGGACTGTTACGCCAGCAACGCTGTCCCTCTGGTCCATCAGGCTGTAGGCCGCTGGGCTCTCACAGGAGTAGCTTCACTTAGCCGAGGATGAATTTCTTCAGCTGTCTTTGATAAGAGCTGTTATACCTTTGCACCTATTTCACAGGAGAGGGGGAGAAATTCACCGTGATAACATCTGTAGAACTTCAGCAGTGTTAGTTAGCATCTTTGCACAGATGGCAAACATGTTGGAGTCCTGAAAAAGCTCTGAATTCTCAAGGTAGTATAAAAGGCTACTCAGAATTACCATTTCTTAATAGTAATTTTAGATTAGTGCTGTTATGTGGCAAGAAGAATGTCAGAGCTTATCTTTTATAGATATCTGTCATCAACTTAGGTAGTATGAAGTGACATTAAAGAATAGTCATCTCCGGGGCGGCCTGGTGGCAGAGGGGTTAAGTGCGCGTGTCCCGCTTTGGTGGCCTGAGGTTTCGCGGGTTCGGATCCTGGGTGGCAACATGGCACCGCTCATCAGGCCATGCTGAGGTGGCGTCCCACATAGCACAACCAGAGGCACTTGCAACCAGAACATACAACTGTGTACTGGGGGGCTTTGGGGTGAAGAAAAAAAAGATGGGCAACAGTTGTTAGCTCAGGTGCCAATCTTTAGGGAAAAAAAAAGAATAATCATCTT